CCAGCCCGCGAAAAAACATAAACAACCCACCGCAAACAACTTTCACTGCAGCAATATAACGGTAAGAAACATGTAAATGAACGTGCTCAGCACTGAGGTGATATATTCGTGATTAAAAGAAACGCCCCGTCCGTGTCACTTTCTAGAAAGTATTAGGACGACTGCGAGTGCCACAAACGCATGAACCACAACCTGAAGACACATGATCCTCGCCCCAGTGGCTTGGAAACGCACACCTTGGTGTCATTCGCGACAGGACAAGGCTACTCTTAAGGAGTATTCCAACTCTCTTCGGGACAGATGGCTGGAGCCACGCGTTGGCAACAAATGGGATCTCCAGAGAAGAAAGGGAAACACGTTGGGATTCATGGTGGCTTTCGTCTGATTCGGCCCTCTTGGACGACCCGTGTGGGCACTCTGGCGGCCTCTTGGGATCTCACTGTGCTGCTCGAAACGTCCTGGGGCAGCCTGGGGCCCTCCTGGGACTGCTGTGGGGGCCCTCTCGGAACTTCTGCTCAGCTCCGGGAGCCTCCCGGGGGTGCTCGGGGAAGGCTCCGTGCTGGCCCCCCGGGGGGGGAAGCACCACTTGGGGGCCCCGTGTGCTGCGGCCCGGGACCCCAGGGGTCGGGCTTCCAGTGTATGAGTGGACGACGGTGGTACCAAGGAAGAAAATAGAGAGTGGAGATGGAAAGACGAGTGGAGGGGAGGAGGGCGGAAAGAGGTGGAAGCCAAATACGGAGGATCGAAGGGGGAAGCGGGACGGTGGAGGGAGGAGGCGGACGAAAAAGAAATATTGAGGAGAAGGAGAAGGAGAGGGAGGAGGAGGAGGTGGAGGAGGAGGAGGAGGAGGAGGAGGTCTGAGGGAGGACAGGGGGATGCAAAACGAAAAGGAAAGGGACGGGGAGGGGCAGGGCGGAGGAAGGAGGGATGAAGTGGGAAGGGGAGATCGCCGAGGCGCGGAGGAGGATGGGGGGGGCAGGAGGGCGAATGTACGAGGTAGAGGGCAGGCGGCAAGAGAAGAAAGCGGGAGGGATGAGGGAACGAAGGAAACTACTCACGAGGAGTATGACATATGGCTGGATGAAGAAAAAAGGGGCCGAGAGGGCGTATGAAAGAGAGAGAGAGAGAGAGAGAAAACATTCGAAGTGAGAGAGAAAAGAGTGTTGAGGGATCGGGGGCGTAAGGATGAGAGAAAAGGACGATGATGGTGAGGAGTGGGAGGGGGAGGGGGAGCAAGATGATGAGGAGGAGTGATTGGGGAGAGCATGAGCATGAGTATCTGTGTCTTCGGTTCGAGACGTGCAAGAAGTATCCTGTAGTAGTCTCTACGGGGGCAGCCTGAGACTTCTGGAGTGCCTGTTCGGGTCTCTGGGGCAGCCTCTGGGCAGCCTCTTGGGAAACCGTGCGAGGGACTCTTGGGGCGCCTCTCAGGGCCTCTGCTGGGCCTCTTTTGGGCCCCAGGGCCTGCTGGGGATCCTCGGGGTCCTCTTGTGGCGGATGCTTCGAAACAGGGGTCCCAATTCCCCCCCGTGGGGCCCTTCTTGGAGCCGTCTTGGATGGGGCCGTCTTGTTCAGAAAAGCTAGAAAACTATAGTGCTAGAAATGTGCGTTTTCCAGAAAGAAGACGTTTGCCTCTGCGGGCCCTGTGAGCCGTCTTGGGGGGTCCTCTGTGAGCCGTCTTGACGCCGTCTGGGGCCGTTGGGAAGCCACGTGGGCTCGCCTGGGACCCATTTGGGCCCTCCCCGAAGGCTCCCGGAGGGCCGGGGAAGCTGCGGGGGGGAGGCCCCGCGGGCCCGGGGGGGTGCCTTCCCATGAATGCGCACAGCCTGAATCGAAAACCACGTAACTATTGAGGCCGACCGCCCTCCGACCGTTTAGCTACTGAAAGTGTCAAATACTCGGCTGGCCAACGTTTTTGAGCCCAATGCCCAAACCCATCCTAAGTACCCATGCGCCTGGGACGCGCACCGGAGTTCCTTTCGAATGGAGCGGGACGGAGGACGATGAGGATGGAGAGGATGGAGAGGAGTGCGAGGCGGGAGGCGAACGGAAGAGGGAAGGGGGCATGGCTGGCGAAGGAGGCTGGCGTCGAGGGGAAGAGCGGGCGGAGCAATCATGGAGAACTGTAGGTGGACATGCTCCTCTGTTCGTTTCGCGGGAAAACTGGAGAGCGGCAGCGTCATCAGCCAGCAACTGCCCCGGAGCGTCCGGGGCGTTGCCGATGCCCCTGAGGGAGTGGAGAGGAGGAGTGGAGAGGAGGGGTGGAGAGGAGGAGTGGAGAGGAGGAGTGGAGAGGAGGAGGAGGGGGAGGAGGAGGAGGAGGTTAAGGAGGAGGAGGGGGAGGAGGAGGAGGAGGAGGAGGAGGAGGAGGGGGAGGAGGAGGAGAAGTGGAAGTGGAGGGAGAGGAGAGGGGGGGCTGACACTCAAGGCACACCACATCTCGGCGAAACCGCACCGCTGATCTGAGGTCTGCGCCCAGGCATCCACGGATGACCCCACTAGCCGCGGGGACGAGAGCAGGGAGGAGCGGGGCGGGCCACGGCACGCACGTAGGGGGCTCGAGCGTTGCAGCACCAGCTTGGGGATGGTGGACACACGGGTGCCCTCGTGCGCTGCACGTCAGCTTCAAATACGGGTCGACTACAGAATTGACGTGCCTGACGGAGAGACAAGGGTCTTATGTGAGATGGCATAGCGACCTTGCGCCGCGGCTTACGCGGGCCGCCGGCAAGGCACGCCACAATGGAGACGAAGGCGTTTACGCGCGAGCTTACGCGGGCCTCTTATGCGCCAATGTCGGCGAAAACGACCCTTTATTCTGCGCCGCTCAGATGCCCTCGTGCGTGGCACATGAACGTCGACCACTGCTGACAACACGATGCGGGTGTGACGAGACCCACCAAGACCGTGAACAAGCTAATTACGTAGCGCGAGCCGCATAAACATTCTGAATGCGCATCCCAATGCACACTGGCGCACCGAAGGCATGTACTCGGAAGGGCCTATGCGCTGGGGCGCTCCATGCACTTGAGTGCCGCGCAAAACCCCTTCACAAAAGAACGCGCGTGCTGCACCCAACCATGCGCACACACATGCGGCACACAACGCAGCAATCGCTGTATGACACGTGAACAGAGGGACTGAGCATCGGCGACCTCTGAAGCATGCAGCTGCTCCTCCAAGCGTTCCATCTCCAACCTCAAGGCCTGCGGCTGCGGCGATGCACTCGAACATGGGTTTGTCAACTATATGTATGTATATATACGATGTATATCTCTCTCTGTCTCTCTTTTTTGTTTCTCTCTCATATATTTATACATAAAACTTATCCATATATATGTATATGTATCCCCGCGCCGGTGTGTTTTCTTATGATGTCTTGCTTATACCTGTTATTGAGGATGAGTTGTCTGTTTCTCTCTCTCTCTCTCGCTTCTCTCTCTCCCTCTCTCCCTCCCTCCTTCCCTCCCTTTCTCCCTCATTTGTTCCTCTTTCTCTCTCTCTCTCTCGTTCCCTCCCTCTCTCCAGAGCAAGTTCCGACGCTGCCGATCGTCAGGCAACGAGCGACTCGTGGACGGAACGTGCAGCGAAGCGCCAGCTGCACTGCGTCGGCGGGCGAGCAAGCCAGAGTCCGTTCGCCCGCGCCCATGCGGTGCGGCAGGCGGGCTTCGCCTTCCTATCCCCCCTGGGCGTAGCACGGAACAAGTGCTTCCAAGCAGGAACGACATCGGGCCCCGGAGGCCTCGTGATGGCGCCTGGCGGCTCCACAAGCTCACAACCAATGTGTGAAACCTCCAGGGCGTCTGCTGCGCTTGTCCCAAACATTGTCCGGCTCACAGAGGAGGCTCCTGAAAACAGAAAACCATGTGATCTGCACCCCCGAGAAGCCGAAAAGAGCGGTCCCTTGCAAAGACCACAGAATCCGCGCCTGCGAGGTTCCGAGGAGCCCCCCGAGGCTCTCAGACGCTCCAGGAACGCCCAGGCGCTCCGCAGGCGGTCTCAGGCGGCCCCAGGCAGTCCAAGCGTCCCAGGCGGAGGAGGAGGAGGAGGAGGAGGAGGAGGAGGAGGTAGGAGGAGGAGGAGGAGGAGGAGAGGAGGACGAGGAGAGGCGAGGAGGAGAGGGGAGGAGGAGGAGGAGGAGAGGGGGAGGAAGATGAGGAGGAGGGAGGGAGGAGGGATGAAGGAGAGAGGGAGGAGGAAGGATGGAGGAGGATGGAGGAGGAGGGAGGAGGGAGGATGAGGAGGACAAGGAGGGAGGAAGGGGGGAGGAGGAGGATGAGGAGGAGGAGAGGAGGAGGAGGTAGGAGAGGAGGAGGAAGGAGGAGAGGGGGAGTAGGAACAGGAGGAGGAGGAGGGGAGGAGGATGATTAGTAGGAGGAGGTTCGTGGATGCTGGGTTTTTAGGAAGGAGAGGAGTATTTATTAGGAAGTTAGGATTAGGAGATTAGGTTGATTGGAGGACGAGGAGGAGGAGGAGGAGGGAGAAGGTCCCCATTTGGTCCCAGGTTTTCCCAGAACGGCCAAGCGCTCCCAGGCAACCCCACACGCCCCCCAAGGCGCTCCCAGACGCCCGAGATGCTCCCGAGCGCTCCCGGACTGGTCGCAAAAGTGCAGACCTTCGTCTGCGGCCCCAGGCGCTCCCCAGGCGGCCCCGGGGCGCTCCCAGGCGCGCCCAACGGGTTCCCAACCGCTCCCAAGCGCTGCATGGCGGCCCCCGACGCTCCAGGAGCGCCACGGCGCTCACAAGCAGCCCCAGGGGTCCCACGTGGCCCCAGGAGCCCCCAGACGTCCACAAACGCCCCCACGCGCTCGCAGGCGTTCCCGGGCGGCTCCAGGAGCGCCCGAGCGCTCCCAGGCGCTCCCAGACGCTCCCGGACGCTTTCTGCCGCTCCCCGACGCTCCAGGAGCGCCCAGGCGCCCCCAGCCGCTCCCCAGGCGCTCCTCGCACGCGTTAACGCCTCCTGCGCGTCCTTGGCCGCCCACGTCCGCGTGCCTGGGCCA